TGGCTCTTTTTTCCATTTCTTCCAGGCGCATGCACTTGAGAGCATCAGGAAGACTGGGAACACTGGAACACAACTCCCACCTAAGCTGTCATTTTCTTCCCTCAAGGGAAGGCTACATCTTCATCGCTCCCAGGCCTGCTGGAGAGCCCCCTGGCTAGCACAATAACTGAGGTCATAAACAAGATCAGTGCTGAATAAGCCTTTCCTTGCCCAGAGACCTTTGTATTTGTGATCAGCAATAAAAGGCTGTACTGGAATTTAAAATCTCAGCCAGGTAAAATGCCAGGGATGTTTATTTAAACGCTTTAAATCAAAAAGTGTCTGGCTGTAAGAATCAGCTTTTCACATTCATATTGTACGGCTGTGGACTCATACCTAGGTTATGAAAGAAGCCCAAAATAAGATGAGACATAATAAAACACAAGCTGGGCTTAAGTAAGGATTGATTTCTGACAGCCGTTCTCAATGTTTTAAATACTAGCTGCATACCCAGACATTTGCAAGATTTTAATTGCACCATTCCTAGTGATTTAACATTGCAAAAATTTACATACTTCCATGCTCAGAATTTGAAAAGCAAAGAAAATGAGAAACTTGGGTTGACATAAACAAGATTCAAAGAAAACAATATTTTTTTTTCTAAAATAAGTCACTGACAGCAGATGACTGGCATCCTACATGTACTGAATATACCCTATATCTTCAAGCTCTTTTGCTGTGAATTCTTTTCTATGCTGTATTTCTATGCTCCTGATTTTAGTTTATGAGGTGAGAACTACAGAAAAATACATAAACTAATAAGAAAATTTGCCAGACATGCCTTAACATGCTTAGACAGATATGAGCACCGAAAAATAAAAGACCAATATGAAAGAGTGGGCCAGAATTTCAGGTGGGACAAGCCAACATGGGTAGTGGAGGGCACTGATTAGCAAGGAGTGATGAGAGGAGCTTGGACTGTATGGACACAGGAGGTAGTGCGGGAAGTGAAGGACAAATGGTATATATCCATCTACGTACTTGGGAAGACTTGAATTTCGGCAACTAAGAAACAGAGGACGCTCTGAAGATGGAAGTCTTCATTTTTAGACTTTTGGTTAAATCAATATCCAATTGTTAGAAATAATAGCATGCACTCTTAGAAAAGAAGACATTGCACTGCTAATTCCAGATAAGTAAAGTCTGGCTTTACTTTGCTTTCTTCTGGAGCATTATCCCACTCAAGTTTATCTTTCATAAATGCTGACACAAGCTACAAGTTTATATTCTTTCATAAAAAAAAATTTATTTTATTTTCTTTCTTTCTCTTCTTGTTTCCAAATTATACCCACAGGTTCAACTGGTACTTCCAATTGCAACTACAGGCAGTGAGACAAGAACAGTACAAGAACCTTTATCTTAAGTATTTATTGTTATGCCAGAATATCACTCGGTTTCCTCTAGGGTAATTCAGCACTCCTGTGGGAAATATGTGACCTCATTTGCATTTTCTAATTGAATTGCTATCAGATTTCCTGCAAGACTGAACAAAAAAAGTTCCTAGAATTACTACCACCACTTGTATTAACCAGAAAAAAAGTTTACGTTCAAGTGTTTGCTGAGACGGAGGGGAAAATATATGCTTCATGTATCATGAAATAAATTTTTTAAATATTTACCTTCTTTGCTATCATTTAATCCTACTAGAATTAAACTTTAATGTAGTAGTTAGAATTCTTTCATTACAGTGGTTGCCAGTGAAAATTTTCAGATTTGCCCATGTTATAGAATCATAGTTACTCAGTTATCTAAAGCAATTAGCACATTCATAAGGACAATACTATGAAGGAGGGGAAATTGTCATTGTATTGGGTCACCCACCATTAAAATGTCAGCTTGCATGGAGAGTAACAGCACAGCTGTGGGATCCGAGGTACAGGTACAGACATCAAACCCTCTGATTTTGCAATGAAAGCGTGCAAGGGGACAACTATCCCAACAGGAGCCATCCTGAACTGATCTGCCACCCTGAAAGCAAGCTGGCTGCCACCAAAGCTCTCCCATCCCATTATGCAGATTTCCAGATTCATATATTGTGATTAGAAAGGATCACAAATCCAACGATCATGTATTGAGGGTTTTATCCTCTGCACCCTCCTGCAGGCAGGCTATAAGAGACTGGGACTGCTCCCTCTAGAACGCTTTGGGAATTTGCAGCAGAGCAGGGACCTCACTTCTGGTCCCCCATGGCCTCAGCCAGCATCCCAGCAATGTCAACTTTTCCTATAACATTTATTCTGTATTAACCTCCATAATAAACTAAATATCTAACAACGGCCACTCCAGGAGGGCTAATCATGTTTTCATGAAGCTTTAATCCATGGATAATTGTGAACTGAATTCTGGTTTATCCTTTCAGGGGCGATTCAGAGGGGCAGCAAAGCTTCCCGTCACACAGTGGGGCTGCCCCAGTTGAGGGCCATCAGTCATGGGGAAGCCTCAAGAAACAACAGAGGATGGGCGAGCAAGGCAGGAGGACTTGTTTGTGCTGTAGGTGCCAGCAAACAGAGATCAGTAGGTGCAGGAAGGCAAATTTCATGCCAATTATTTTTAAGGTCTGGGAACTGTTCAGCATTTTCACAAAATCAGTCAGAAATTTACAAAGTAAAATGGAAATGGATGTATGCGCCAGAACAGAGAGTTGGTCTCTCTCCCTGTCTCATGTCACCTCCTCTTTTCTCTCCCGTATCTGCCGTCTCCATATCCTGAATATAAAACAATAGTCTGAAATGCCTTTAAAAAAATTATGTAGTTCTGCTTGAGTCATATTATACTATACAAAACCAAATGTGAAATCTGTTTCTAGTAAAAGCCATGAAATGCAGTACATTAGGGTCATGGCCTGAAACACATTGAACTGGATATTGTTAGGTTTTGGGATTTTTTTCAGCATAAACACTATTATTTTTAAAAATATTCTTATAATCATATTTATTTCTTTAGTAAACAAAGGATTACTTTGTCTGCAAAAAACACAAGCATTTAAATAAAACACAAGTCAGATGCCTGCTATAGGGACCCACAATAAAACTGCTTATGACCTTGTCATTAGTCTTGTTTTCTGTATTTTTCCAGCCTCAAACTACACACTAATAAGGCTTTTAGAAAGGAGGGATATGAATTTTAAAAAGCTTAGCTCTCTCTGTTTTGAACCAGAGTTCAGCTTGCATTAACATTAGATGAATTTCCAACCAAATATTTTACTAAAACAGAAATGTGTGCTTATTCAGTTTTCTTCCTGCTACACTGAGAAGAAATTCAAAGCAGTACATAAGACACCTTACTCTGTTCCTTCAATATTTAATTACTTTTAGAAGGAAGCAGTATTTCTTTGGTTAGAAAACGGCAAATACAGTTGACATAACATACAGGGCTTAATTATATCTTGCACAAACCAGAGTCTTACTGAAGAGCAGCAAAAGTGTATTTATATGACTCTAAGCCATGCAAAACCTCAGGGGTCAGCCTGTCGGGCAACTGCTAGATTTAAGTCTCTCCAAGTATTTTCCTCTTGTCTCACTCATGGCAAAAATTCTCACAAATGGCACAGACTCACATGGTGGCATTCTGACAACACGGCAGAAAAAACCTCTCCCTTTTTCTGCCTCCTTCCCTGCCCTGCCCTCTCTGCCCAAGCACTGCAAAAAAGAGGAAAGGAGAAGCCAGTCTCGCTATTTTGACAATTACCGGGGTGCATCAATCAAAACTACAGCCATGGCCAAGTGACCTTGCCTGTCCCTGAACTAGCCATGACTGTTCCCCAGTGACACACACCTTCGTCCTTGCTCTGCAGGTCTTCAGGATCCAGCAATAAATCAGGCTCTTCAGCCAATTTCCTGCCAAATCCTGCTTAAATGTAACCGCCCAGCCATCACAGAACTGGGTTTTTTGAGTAGGTGCCAGACAATATAACTGTGTTTACTCAGCGTAGTAAAGGATCCTCAGCCCAGACTAACTAACACTGAAAAGGAAGGAGGAGAAAATGAAAAGGTGGGGAAGTGCTGCTGCCAAAGATGATATGGAAGATGTGGGTCAGAGACAGCTACTCAAGGAGCAGACCAGAAGAAACGTGTTTTCATGGAGCAGTCCCCAGTTACAATGGCACTGTGCAGCCCACAGTATTCAGCTGAAGCGGTTCTGCTCTCAGACTGCTGGGCAGGGACAGATGCTTCCTGCTTTTCAGCGACATGTATGAAACTAAAAAAGAAAGCAAGCATCTGTAACCTTCTGTCTGAAATACTGAATGGTGCTGGTTTTCCATTCTTCAGCTGGCATTGAGCGGGGGGGCCGTTTGCCACCACGGTGCCACCTTGTGCTTGGCTGCCCCGCTGGCCTGTGCTGCGTGGGAGCGTATGTCCCTTACCAGGCAGCAGCAATGCTCCCTGTCCTTGCTGCTTCAGAAGGGAACGAGCCCAAACGTCCCCTCTGCAAGCCCCCCAGGGAGCTGCAGGGCCATGCAGGCGGCTCACGGAGAGAAAGGAATCACTGTGAAAACCAGGGAGATGTCTTAGCAGCACGGCGCCAGTGCACAACTCAAGGTCTACACCGTCACTAAAGAAATCTGAACTTAACCTTGTATTTCTCAAGAAGATGGTTGACTTTGACACTGGCGAGAGGGAGGCATCCTTCACTTGCAGGTTTTATTTCAAGCCAAGAGAGAGCATTAGCAGTAGATGCAAACACAAGATCTATAACCTGCAGAACGTAGCAGAGCCAAGCGGTCACTTAACAATATGGGAGCGTGAACTTAGAGAACGCCTCCCTCACTGGTGACCTTAAATCATTTCTGTCAGAGACAATCAAGGATCACTTACGAGAAATTTGCTGCTGCTACTTGTGGTGTTTCCTACCCAGATGCTTTCTCGGGCAACACAAACAATCAGATACCACATGGAACTTTTAAAGGTTTGAGGAACACAGGCAAAGGAAGAATGAAATAAGAAAAAAACCAAACTTCTTACCTTGTGTCCATTGTGTTGTGACTTCTCTGCCACCAGAAATCTGACAATGGCCTCCCACCGGCCCAGGGTCTGCGGATCCCACGCGGTCACCATCAGGATGAGCTGCTTCGAGGGCATTTGCAGCTGGTGGGCAGCATACATGGTCCCATCCGCTCTCACCTTGAAGTCCAGGCTGTTGGTTTCATACCGAACTCCCTTGTTACCAGCACAGTTATTAAATTTTACTAGAACAGAGAACAAGAGATGGAAGAAACGTGTGAGATTGGCGTGATAAGGAAGGCAATCAAACACAAGTTTCAGACATTTAATTTTCACTGATGTCTTCTATATCTCTAATAACCATCAAGGAAATGATTTAACTGTTTCTTCGACCTTTCAGGAGTGCTCTTGTGCTTTATCTCCGCTCCCGAGGGAAGAAGTTGTAAGCCATTTTTAAAGTATTTGATACAGTTTCATTAGATCTCAAACACAGCTGTTCCCCATTTCTACAAGTGGATTTCTCCCTTGTCGCCATTATCTTTTAAATTCGACTGGAGTCTATTACCCACACTGTGGGTATTTTTTTGCACAAAATGTTCTCCATTTCCCTAACCCTTCAATAACCTACTTACCAGATAGCCTATTTGCACATTCTTAACTGAAATTCAAAAGCCCATAACAATTCCATTATCAGAAATATAAAAAACAAAAAAAAAGGAAAAGAAATTAAAACTGCTTTGTGGATTGCCTCTGCTGCTGGAACCAGACCCCCCTAACCACAGCTGCGATCCCACCCTGGCCGACCCCTCCACGCGCTACAGCTACAGCAAAAAGGAACTGTAAAACTTTGCTTCACAAACCACAATTTGTCATTTAAAAGTCTACACTGTCAGATCAAAGCTCCCCAGTTGCTGATATTTTTATTTTCGGCATTTTTGGTCAAATTCTTTCACAGTCTAGTTTGAAAGCTATTTTTATTGACATTATGAAACATGTCATAGACATTAAGCTGGAAAACCCCCAAACTATTATATGACAAAATTGACAAATCCGATAGAAACTGAACCTGCAGCTAATCACACAGGAAACAAAACACTTTCTGCCATTCGAGCAATCCACGGGGTGGAACACACATGTGGTGAAGGAAAACATATTGTACCCGTAAAAACATCTCAAGTGACTGAGAATGGATATACAGCTTTCTAGCTAGGATCCTTACACGGGTTCTCATGCTGGGCCTTCCGAGTGCTTCATAGCGATGCTCTCAGCCTGCCCCGAGATAAGGACACCTGCTAGTCCAAGTGTGATTCTGCTTTGGCAGGCACTTAATTTTTGCACAAGAAAAGCTAAGTCAGGGGAGCTCAACCTAGACTGGCTGTGGTGGGAGGAGTGGGGATGCAGTGACAATCCAGACGAGAGGTGCTCCTGGGCCAGTTTTACCCCAACTGTCCCCTTCTCCCCATACCATAGCTGACTGTTTCCGCAGCCCTGCTTTGAGCTGAATCAGGGATTAACCTGGATTTAAATAAAAATATCCTAGGGATGGCACAGGTGAAAGAACCCGCCAGGAAACTGCGCAACCCATGCTGCTGCCAAAGCCCCTGGTACCATCACAGTATTGAGAAACAAGAAGCAGACTGTAGTGGAGGAAGGGAAAATCCATCCCCTTGTTCATCAAACTGCACCTCTCAGTACTCAGGGTGCTGTGATCATGTCGTAACTATGCATTTTACAAAGGCTTTCCATACTACACATTTATTTAGACCATATCTGTACATTGTGTGTGTGGTGGGAACTGTTACCTAATGCTGCAATAATTACTGGGCACAAACAACAAATGTCACATGTTGATTTATAAAAAAGAAGATGAACAAAGTTTTCTAGTATATAAAGAAACCATGGGTAATGCTTTTAAGCAATTTTGTTCTCACAGACTACATCATTAAATTCCCACATAATCTGGAATCCAGGGAAAATAAAAGTCCCTCAGTTTTGTTTTGGAAAGCAGGCATCTGCCCATCTTTACTCTTCACGGTAGCTCCGACTGCAGCAAACAATCTCCACACCTGTCTCATCTGATATGCTTTAGTCGAGACATTTGACCAGTTATCTCTGCTTTCTATCTCCAGAAGCATAACAAATGTTTTCCAATGTAATAGGAAGTAGCATCTCTTACATCGTTCAAAGTTTAAATAAGACTTTGGTTACAATTTTTTAAGAGACAGGATATTACTTAATTGCTACTTTGACCACGGTTTGAAGCTCTTGGCACCCTTGCTTGCACAGTCACTGAGTATCAGAGCACAGGGCAGATATTCAGCAGTCTGGAGGACAGGATCTCTATCTTATGAAGGTGAGACTTTAATCCAGTGAAATAAATAAAGAAGAAAGCCTATGGGATTGAGTCTTCCATAGTTTCCAAAAATGCTAGGAATTATCTCAAACTTCAAAGCTCAAATGTACGTGATGAAAGCTAAATTTAAAAAAAATGCATGACCATGTTGAGGTTTCAAACTTCAGCAGCCTCAGAGCTGGAGCTTGGGCCCTTCTCGAGGTGCCATGTAGCACACAGGTCATCCTACCCAAACCCAGCCAGTGCTGAGGGCTACCAGTCCACACCAGCAAGCCAACACTCTGGCCTTGATGTCAACCGGCACACAACAGCTCATCTCCTGAAGGCCAAAATTTCTTATTCCCACAAAGTTTCACTTCTAAATAGCCTGCTAGAGACAACGCATGGTCAACACTAACTCCAAAATTCCACAGTGCTACCATTGATCTGATCATGGCAGCAACACCAGGTCAATTCTCAGAATCATGCCAGGCCCTGCTCGCTTTAACAGTAAAGACACAGTTTTTAGAGTAGACTGAAAAATAAAGTCATGAAAGCACTGAATGAGGTTAAACACGCACATCGTTTGGCGGCACCTACAAGAACTGCACACCTGGAGAAACCGGGATCGCTGCAGAGACCCGCGGGGCGGCTGGTGCTGCCGGGGAGATCCCCTGCACCCCTGGGACTGCCCTGCTGCGAGATCTCCTTCATCTCTGAGGAATTTCTGCAAATCTCTCCTGCATTCACAGTTACAATAAATATGTGGGAACACAATGAGTGCTTTGCTGCTAATTTGTTATTTATTTTCAGCTCCATGCCACCAGCACTGTCAGAAACAAGGTACATTGGTTGGTGTATTATTGCGTTCCTCTGCTACACAACAGCAATGCAAAAAGCGAGTTCCATCTATACCTCCTGAAGTACCCACATATCATATATAAAAAGATGTCTGAAGAAGAGAGAAAGGAGCGATAATGACTGCACATTAAAAACAATTCAGAGCTTACTTTGATTTTATTGAGATTAAAAGAAAGCCCTACAGTGTACTAGTAGTCTGAGAGGAAAAAAAAATAAATCCCTTCTTATATGTGTACGTAGTGATTTCAGTATTCAAAGTACTTAAACATCTGCTTAAGACACAGCGCATGGCTCCAATATGCTGCTCCGGTGTCATATGTCACCGTGTCGACTTTTATGCTCCATTATCTAAAAATGGCTACCTCTTAGACAAAGTCCCTCTGTGACTTGCTAATTACTTCCATTAGTTTAAAACAAACTTGACTAGAGACAGAGAAAATCCTGAGAGAAATTAAGTCTAATTTTTCAAACAAGCAACGTCTCTGCTCCGCACCGCTGTTCTCAGGTAGCACAGGTAGGTGAGCGCTCAGCAACGAATTAACACAGCCAACTCCTCCGAAGAGTCCTTAGGAGCTGCAAACACAAAAAGCCTTCATGGATGTATGGATTCCGTAACGTTTAGTCCCCACGAGGGACTGCACCTTGCACAGCTGCCCGACCAGCAGCCAGCATGGCCACGGCTCACCCAAGTGGCTTTGCAGAAGACCTTCAACCACACATGGGAGATGATTCAGCAACTCATCAGGGCCTGAGTATTAGGGAGCACCGTGCTCAGCCGCTGCCAGGCGTAGCTGTTGCTATTGCTCTGGGCACCGTTCGTACGCAGCGTAGAAAACATATCTGCAACACAGTATGGACGAACCGCTCCCACTTTCACCACATGGCTGCGAGGACTCTAATTAGAAATCCTGTGCTCATCCCCCTTGCTGCCCTGTGAAAACGATTCCTTGGGATGTTACATGACCACTGAGATGCACTGTTATATATATATGTATATATACATGCATATACATCATATATACATGTAAAGTATTTTTCCCAAATATATGTGCACAGGTTTGAAAAAAAAAATCAAAATATTGTTCTATAATAAATAACATAGATCAAGGAAAGGAGATCTCATCCGTATTTTCAAATTCCATCTCTTACCTCTACTCTCTGCTCTCATGGAAACAGAAATTAAAATTTCATCCAATGGAAGAAAACTTTCGCTTTTTTTTTTTTTCTTTTCTCCTTTAGAAAGCTCTAAGTCAATGTAATCTGCAGTTGATGCAACTCTTGACTTAAAAATAGTTTAATAAATAAACAAACAAACGTTGGCTCTGTTTACTAGACTCAGATCTCTCTGTGGACACAAATCCATCTTTCTTTGACCAGTTTGAAATCTAAAGAACACTGCATGAATTTAACATTCAAAAGCTGCAGCATCAGTAATTAGGATTTCAGATAAACAGCAGAGCCACACATCTATCATTTTTACAGGATGGTAAAAAAAGGAAAACTTTTTTTAATATACTCTGGAAAAATGTTCAGTGGTGCTTATCGAAAGCTTATGCTGAAAACAGCATCAAATGCCTGATGAAAAGAAAACCAAGAAGGCACCCTCATTAGCAGGCTTTTAGGTTTAACCCTTTACCCTCATCATTTTTAATTGCTTCTCTATGAAAGGAGAAACTACAACAATTTGATATGCTGAAACAGGTATTGAGTGATGGACAGAGAAGCTGCAGGAGTCTGCAGCAAACTGCTGGGCATCTGAGAAAAAAAAATGGTATTTTTCTTCAAAAAAGACACAGGGTGAAAAAAAATTCAACAAGTTTTGCATTGTTCCCTTTCATTATTTAGCTTGTTAAGCTCGCTGGACAGAGTCAAATGATCAAGCGAGGATCTTGAAAGATGTACGAATACACTGAACTTCCTTGCCCCTCAAATGTCTGAGAAATATACTGAATTTAATAGGACTATAAATGGTATAAACCAAAGAATTCACTTGAAGCCTTATCCTTCTGGATTCTCCTTTAACTTCTCCTAGTCCATTAAAAAGTGCCCCCTCTGGCAAGCTGCACAGGGCTGCAAGAGCAGGAGGGATAATACTTATTTATTAGGACATACCCCCTGGCAGGACATCGTCCCACAGTTCAGGATCTGGGTCCCTTCAGGACTCTGTGTTCACTACGGTTTTGAGGATTATCGCTGCAAAGATGTTTCTTTCTTGGTGAACTTCAAAGAGGCAAACACACGGAACTATTTACAGCGGGATCCTATCTGCTTTTCAAGTTGTGTCTCTCCAACAGTTCCCTTCACACCCGGCGCGGCTGCGATAAACCTAAGCCGCCAAATCCACCCCTTCCACCACTTCTGCCAACACCATTAAGATGAGAGTGGCTTAACTGTAACCGTTGGAAATTTCAGATGTTCAGGTAACCTAGAGAAACCTGAGCATGTACAGAAATGGCCCTTTTGTGTGATCTTTAGCAGATTACTTGTATTCCTGCCCTGGCACTTCTGGCCCAGTGCTCCCATGCCTCTGTACTCATCCACCTTATCTGGCTTCTGCAGGGGGGTGGCAGTCCTGGCCAGCATTCCTCTGCATGTCACCACATCAGAAATTTAAAAAATCCCGGCTTATTAGCAGCCAGGAACCTGTTGTCTAAGAACAGGCATGAAACCACACAGTTAACCGAAAAACCATACGTATTCCTGGGCACCCTGTGAGTGCATTACCTCCTCAGAAACTGATTTCTCCATTAAGTGCTGATGTGAAGCAGAGCACGCTGAGCCTCATTGGAAAGCTTCATTTATTTGAGAAAGTAAGTACATAGTATAAACTTTTACGTGGCCACATTTTGGAAGCATCTTTCTTTACGTTCGCACAATCCCTCTGCGATTCTGTGAGAAAACCGTTTTACAGCAGTGGGAACAAACTGCAGTCGAGTGAATTCCCCACGGCCACACTGGAAATCCTTGGCAAAGCTGGGAAACTGAATCCTGAAATTCAGGCTCCTCGTTTCTCATTCAAACTGCCAGATCACACTGCCTCCATCACCCACATGCAGGTTAACTAAAGACAAGATAAAAATTTCTAATGGGGAAATGGACTTCTACAAGCACTTCAAAAAGCAAATATTGGCAGACTCTTACTCCTACAAACCGCTGGCGTATTTCCAAACTAGCACTGGGTTAAAAAATGAAGAAATGTCACACAACTTATTATTGCAATCGTTTTGTAAAATGGAGTCCTATCAAGAACTGTTAACACGTGGTAGAGTTCTAGGGCTAAACTATCTTGTCTGCCAAAGGCTAATGCTGAAAGGGAGGCAAGAGGGTTTTGTTTCTCTTGTGTTAAAAGGATGAACGTAGCCAGGTACCACAGGCTTTTTCGCCACTCTGAAAGAATCTGGAGATGGTGCCATTTCAGAGTTTTGTGGAAATGAAAACCGACTTGAGCCATTACACCCGCACGCAATGCTACCTGTAAGTCTGGAGTCCTATTTCTGCCCCATTCCTG